CCAAAGTAGCCCATCAACCCTCCTCCATGAGCTTCCCTGACATACAATTCTCTCAAAGAACCACAAGGAACACTTATGCGGTTATCATAAAAGAGAAATCCTTTCATTTGATAAAATTTACCACTAGCATGTTTCTCAGATTCTTTAAAGACCTCATGAAACTCAGGGTCATTAACATAGCAAGATTTGATATGTTCAAAACCTAATAGTTTAGTTTCCATGAAAGATAATAGAACATACATTCTGGAGAGTGCATCAGCAACAACATTCTCCTTACCTTGCTTGTAGTGGATGACATAAGGGAATGTCTCAATGAACTCCACCCACCTAGCATGCCTCTTGTTCAGCTTCTGTTGCCCTTTGAGGTGTTTAAGAGATTCATGATCTGTATGGATCACAAACTCTTTTGGCCACAAGTAGTGTTGCCACATTTGCAATGTCCTCACCAAGGCATATAGCTCCTTGTCATAGGTTGGGTAGTTCAGTGTGGCTCCTCCTAGCTTCTCACTGAAATAAGCTATAGGCCTCTTTTCCTGCATCAACACAGCTCATATCCCAATACCAGATGCATCACATTCAATTTCAAAGGTTTTAGAAAAGTCAGAGAGTACAAGTAAAGGAGCACTTGTTAACTTCTCTTTTAGCATTTGGAATGCATCTTCTTGGGCCTGCCCCCACGTGAAACCTACACTCTTTTTGATTACCTCAGTGAGTGGAGCAGCAACTGTACTGAAGTCTCTAACAAACCTTCTATAGAAACCAGCAAGTCCATGAAAATTCCTGACCTCCCCAATGGTTTTAGGGGTCGGCCACTCCTTGATAGCCTTCACCTTCTCCTCATCAACCTGTATGCCATGTGATGTCACAACAAAACCTAGGAAAACAAGGTTATCTGTTCCAAAAGAACACTTTTTGTAGTTAGCGTACATGTTCTCCTTCCGAAGCACATCAAGAACTTGTCTCAAATGATTAACATGCCCTTTCATGGTCTTACTATAGATCAGTATATCATCAAAATACACTACTACAAATCACCCAATCAAAGCTCTCAAGACATGATTCATTAACCTCATAAATGTGCTAGGTGCATTAGTAAGACCAAAAGGCATCACAAGCCATTCATACAATCCTAGCTTAGTTTTAAAGGTTGTTTTCCGCTCATCTCCTTCTTTCATTCTAATCTGGTGATATCCACTCTTTAAGTCAATTTTAGAAAAGACACATGAACCATGTAACTCATCTAGCATATCATCTAAGCGTGGGATAGGATGTATGTACTTAACTGTGATGTTGTTGATGGCTCCGCAGTCCACACACATCCTCCAGCTCTCATCTTTCTTAGGCACCAGCAGAACAGGTACAACACAAGGACTCATGCTTTCCCTGATGTGGCCTTTCTCCAATAGATCATTAACTTGTTTCTAAAGCTCCTTGGTCTCCACAGGATTGGTCCTGTATGCTGGACGATTTGGTAAGGTTGCCCCTGGTACAAAGTCAATCTGATGTTCTATTCCTCTGATAGGTGGCAGACCCACCGGATTGTCTTCTGGAAAAAACATCTTTATATTCCTGCAAAAGACACTCAATCTCTTCTGGGATCACACGGTTAGTGATAGTAGAAGATAGCATCAATTCTTTGTAAACTACCAGTATCAGGTTTGGTTGTTCAAACATAGCAGTCTTGATATCTTTGTTTGTAGCAAAGAGGTTTAGATTACTTACCTGGTCAGTCTCATCCAGTAGCAAGGTTTTTCTGGATGCTTTAGCTTCATCCCTCCTCTTTTTGAGATATTTGATCATGGTGCACTTCCTGGGGTGTCAATGGCACGAGTGTGATCTGCTTCTTCTCATGGGTAAAGGTGTGTCTGTTGGTGAAGCCATCATGTACTGCTTTCTTGTCATATTTCCAGGGTCGCCCAAGTAGAATGTGACTAGATTCAAGGGGTAACACATCACAAATGATCTCATCATGATACCTTCCCACTGATAGCAACACCTTCACTTGCTTGCTGACCTTCATATCTCCCTTTTCGTTGAGCCACTGCAAGCTGTATGGTTTTGGGTGCTTATACACTTCAAGACCCAATTTCTCCACCAGCTCCTCACTAGCTACATTAGTGCAGCTTCCTCCATCAATTATCATACTGCAGACTTTGTTTTTAACCAAGCATCTGGTGTGGAACAAGTTCTCTCTTTGATCATCCTCTTTGGCTTTAAGTTGTGTACTGAGGGTTCTCCTTGTGACCAACATCTCTCCTCGGACAGGGTACTCCATACTCTCACCCTCAGAATCATGATCGGATCTCTCTTCTTCAGAGACTACCTCTCCATTGGCGAGAATTATCATCACTTTCTTGTTGATGCAATCACTAGCATAATGTCCAAACCCTTGACATTTGAAACACCTAACATTCCTGGACCTAGTGGCAGTGGCTGGACCTTTTCCTTTGTCCTCTCGCCTTACATCCCCTGGGGAAGCCCCTTCCTTTGGCTTATCAGGTGACTTATCTTCCTTGGAGTATGCTACTTTTGAGGTAGAGCCATATGACGATCTGGTTGCATTCTTCCTTTTGTTTTGTTGCTCAATCAGAATAGCTTTATGCAGTAGCTCATTCATGTGCTCATACTCTTGCAACTCCAATCTGTCTTGTATGTCTCGGTTCAGTCCCCCTTGGAATCTTGCCATGGTTGCTTCAGCACCTTCTTCCAGCTCAGCCTTCAAAATAAGTGTCTCCATCTCCTGGTGATAGTCTTCTACACTCTTGGATCCTTGAGAAAGCCTTCTCAATTTCTGGTGAAGATCTCGGTTATAATGATTAGGAACAAATCTCTGCTTCATCACGGTTTTCATCTCAAACCAGGAAGCTATCTGAGGCTCTCCATTACGCCTCCTAGTAGTGGCAACTTGCTCCCACCAGCTTATAGCATATCCGCAGAACTCAGTGGCTGCAAACCGAACCTTCCTTTCCTCAGTAAGTTGTTGGCAATTGAAAACCAACTCAATCTTGCTCTCCCACTCCAAGTAGGCGTCTGGGTCATTCTTGCCATGGAATGGAGGTATTCTCAGTCTGTGATTTCCAAGGTTATCAGCTGGTCTTCTACGGTTTTGGCGCCTGCTGTGATGGCTAGCTTGAGATTCGTTGTCACTCTCATCAGTTGGATCTCCCTGCTCTTGTTCACCATAGATCCTATGACCTCTAACTTCAAGTCGTGGTCCCCTCCTAGGCCCCATACGTGCTCTCCTAGCTCCCACTGCAGCTCCTCTCTCTTGTCCTGCATTAACATCAAATAAGTTATCATTAGCTTGTTGAGCACGGTTGTAAGAAGCTTGCATTCTTCTTGTTATCTCAGCCATCATAGCCTCAAATTGAACTTGGTTGAGGTTGATTTGCTGAGGAGCCGGTTCATCTACTTCTGCTCTTGTTCGCAACTCATCTCCCATTGTGACCTGGAAACAAGTTAGAAAAGAATGATACAATTAATCTCTCTCTCACTCAAGTTAAGCCGCCAAGTCTCTGCCTTTCTCACAAGTTCAGTTAAGGATCAAAACTCCACACCTAAGATCTGGAACTATAACCCCAAATGAATGTAGATAGAAAGAATTAAGTGATTTAGGCACCAGCTGACTTTACCACCCTGAGCTGGATTACTCTTCAGCTAGCTGGATTTCTCCTCAGCTTTGATTTGGATCAGAGATCTCTTTTCTTGTTTGGTTTTTTTTTTTTTTTTTTGATTGATTACCAGGGTTGGCTCAGCTGGCTTACAAGAGATATATAGATAGATAAGAGAACTGTTTTGGTGGAATGAATGATCTGAGTAGACAAATCGCAAACCCTAACCCTCAAGTGGCTCTGATACCACTTGGTGCAGCCGGGGTATGGCTTCTGCTCCTGGATCACTCGAAGGTGGATGGAAAGGGAGTGTTCGTAGAGGTTATGAACACTCTGAAGTACTATGGACGTCTCTCTGAAGCTATGAGTGTGGCGACAGAGATGGTTTGCTACTCAGAGACACAAGATCACCCTGTATTGTCTAAGATGGATTCACTAAGGAATTACTTCCCTATGGTGAGATCAATGTTCCTTTAGCTGAACAGAGAAAGCGTGAGACAAAGGCAAGCAAAATTGCTGAGAAATTATTAGATTCAAACTTAAAAGTTGCTCTCAGCTGCATACAAGAATTAAATAGAAAATGTAAACTACCCTAATCCTTAACCAGATTGGTTTAGGAGATCTAAACCAATTCGGAATTGGTTATCCTAATCCTGATTGAACTTGGTTTACTAATTCTAATTGTCTTTGGTTTAATCTAAATGAAATCAATTACACAGAAATAACATTAAACCAACAAACTGGTTTGTCTTGGTCCTTCTCTTCTGGTTTACTCCCCACGGATTTGATTAAGTATTGAAATCTCTTCCCTTGTGCTTTCAGCCTTGATCTAGTTACTGGTCCTTCCCACAAGCTGGTTACAAGATTATCAGCTTCTAGTTCTCCTTCTAAATCAGTCTCCTCGGAATCATCTTTATCTCCTTGAACAGGTTCAATCAGCTTTCCCTCATCGGACTCACTCAGCTCTCCAATGTCCCTACTCATGGCTACACCAATTTGTGATTATGTTTTCCAGTTTCACCATCAAGTTTATTTCTCTTTCTAATTAATACAAACGGCACCAATTTGTGATTATGTTTTCCAGTTTCACCATCAAGTTTATTTCTCTTTCTAATTAATACAAACGGCAAAAAGTATGCTGTATTCATCGCCTACATATGCACTGACAAGGATAAGGAGATCATATCACCTTTGATTTGCTAACAATTATCTTATTTTATTCTCATATAGGTTATCTTTTACAACTTTTCCTTTTAGTATCGACCTCATATATATTAGTTTATGCAAAACAAAAAGAAGCAATTAATATGAATCGACATTTCAATAAATTCAAGAAGAAATCAAATTACATTTATATCAGTATTTGCTAATTACTTTTTCTTATGATTTGATTGATTTGATTGCTATAGGAAGAAATAGAAATACAATCATCAAGAAAGTAAACAAACAATGTTTTAACAATTGTGTTACAAATTTATTAAGTTATAATGTTGTAGTTATCATATCATATTGTATAGTGGTAATAATAGTAATATCGTCAAGATCAAAGCAGCGTCTATCTCTTGCAGACCACTCCCTTGCCACCTACGCCACTGGCACAACTCATCTCAGGGAGCTCCAATTTGCTCCGGTCACCGTTTCTATCTCCGTTACCGGTGAACTTTGCGGCTGAGCAGTCAGGTGCAAAAAGTCCGGTGGTCTGGAATTCTCTGTCCCCACCCATCACAGGCATGTGGACTCCGATCTTGACTCGGCTAACGTAGTTAGACCGGTACGTCTGTCCCAAAACACCATCTACATTGTCGCTAAGTTCTTGGAACTTGAAGCCTAGGTCGAGGTGAGCTAGACAGTCGTCTTCCGTCACGTCGTAGCCATGGATTCTTGACTCCTCCTTTGTTATTGGCACCACTCTTGCCGTGATCTTGAGCAAGCCCTCTACTTCAACCTGAAAAGATGTATATTATTATATATGTAACTGATTACTCACAATAAGTCTAAAAAATTACAGATTACATTCCTTGAATTTGTAAAAAAAAACTATATTTTACTTGAATTTTTAAACAAAGGTTTTTAATAAACAATTACAGTTTATTTTTAAATATAAACTAACAAAGGTTCCCAGTTATTCTCACGAAAATACTTGAATTTGTAAAAAAAAAACGATATTTTACTGATTTGATGGAAACAAAAATTAATTGTAAGATATATTTTTCTGTATCCTGCCAAAAAAAAAAAAACATTTTCTGTATATTGATTTTTTCCTTTAATTTAAGTAGCTTTGTGGCCAAAGTATTATTTTCTTTGGGCGTACCTGAAGGTTGTTCGTGTCAGCGCTAACTCGTTTGACCGAGACCTGAGGGTAAACTCCTGGAGAAGAAGTCCATGTGGCACCATCAAGCTGAGGAAGGGAGATAACATTTCCATCGAAAGAGGCGGAGATACGGTCAACGGAATCATCCCACGTGGCTGTCTTGAGTGCTCCGACGTAGAAACGGTGAGTGCCAAAGAGGATAGCAATGGATTGGACCCATGTGAAGTCACGTGCCATACCAGACCTGCGTTTACCGATGAAATGTGCGTTGATATGAAGGTTAGGGTCGGAGATAAGGCAGAAGTTGGAGTCTTTCTTGCCGTGGAAGTAAAAGGTGAGACCATCTCCTCCAATGAAACGTGGGTCTTGGCAAACAGATCCTGGCTTGTCGCAATCTGCATCAACGTATATTTCATGAATTAGCAAGTAGTTAGTAAATGAATAGCAAGGACTTAAATAGGAGTTGAATGTAATTATGTAAATGAGGACATACTGCAAATAGGTTTGCAAGTAACGCAATCAACTACACAAGAACGGGGACAAGCGGCCGGGCAAGTATACTCAACTCCGTAACAAGGAGAGCCGCTCTTCTTACACCTGGCTCTTCTGACTCCTGCTCCTGCCTCCCCATCTGATGGCGGGGTTGGAGTAGGAGAGGACGGAGGGACGTAAGGAGGAGTAGAACCAGGAGGGGTTGGAACAGAAGGAGGTGTAGGAGTAGGACTTGGAACGGAGGGAGGAGGAGTAGCAGGTGGAGAATATGGAGGGACTGGTGCGGTGGGAGTACCTGGAGGACTTGGCACGGCCGGTGTAGGAGGAGTAGGAGTAACACTAGGAGGAGTTGGGACGGCTGGTGTAGGAGTAGGAGGTGGTGGTGAAGATGGTGGAGTAGGACTTGGCACGGCCGGCGTAGGAGTCGGAGGTGTTGGTGAAACTGGTGGAGTGGGACTTGGCACGGCTGGTGTAGGAGTTGGAGGCGCTGGTGAAACAGGGGGAGTAGGGCTTGGCACGGAAGGTGTAGGAGGTGGTGGGGACACAGGTGGGACTGGAGTCGGAGGGGTGTATCCACCGTCATCATCACCACCATCATCATCACCACCGTCATCATCACCACCATCATCATCACCACCGTCATCACCACCACCATCATCACCGCCGTCATCACCAGGGGAAGGAGGGCCGCATATGGGTTTGCAAGAAGCACACTCAACATGGCAAGAGTCAGGGCAGAACTTGGGACAAACATGTTCCAAGTTGTAACAGTGTTTGTACTTCTTGATCTTACATGTTGCATGGCTTGGGTTCTTGGCTATGCCAGGTGGTGTATCAGCCATTGTTAGTGCAAGTGATGCAAGGAGTATACATCCCAATAACTGAACTCTTGTGTGTTTGGCTAAATCCATTGCCAAACCTAACAAAGAAGATAAAAAAAATGTGTTTCTTTTTACAGTTGTTGTATCCTTTCGTATTTGATAGTTTGATGATGTTGTTCGAGTACTCTGGTATGGTTTATATAGATAAATATATAAGGTTTTCTTTATTATCAAGTTGGGGTTTTGTAATATTTTAAATAAGGGTTCCTATTTCTATGGACGCATACTCTTCAGAATAGCTAACTACGTAACCTAACAATATAAGTTGATTTCACACGCCACGTGTAATAGAGATTATATAGCTTTAGAAATTTAATGTTATTTTATTTAGAATTGAAAATTTAGTTTATAATCTGAATGTTGTGGACGCACCATGGCCTACTAGTTATGGTTTAAAAACTTCTATATTCAGATATGGAATTCAAATCCGAGGCTATACAATTTTTTACAGATTACAAAAAATCTTGATTTCAAGCTCCGGAGAGAATAATTTATAATGTAGACTACAGAAGAAAGGTTAACAAGAAATTTTCAACATGTTGCAAATAAATCTGGCCAGGAGTAGATTTTCACAAGACGTCTCATATGAGACAGTTAGGCGTAGATTCTTATAAGGCATGAAATATTGTCGGTTGTCGAATCATATATGTAATTTTTCTCGTAATTCTAATGTCATAATAAATAAATCAGCAATAAAAAAAAATCTTAATTTAGTTTTGTTTAATTTTATCAACTATCAAAATAAAACAAAAGTTCACATAAGTAAAATCACTATCAAAATAGACTACCAAAATCACTATTTAGATATTTTCGATAATAACCCAAACCGATCGTTATTCCTTAGAAAAAATATGCTTGTTGGAACTATTTTTTAGACATTATGAATAGTTTATATATATGTCAAAAATGAATTTTATTTAAATGAGAAATGGAGGTCTAATATGTGTATTTGAGAAACTTTTATAAAGTAACAAATATACATATTACATATTTGGATTTGAGTTTTGATTTTGTTAGTTGGACTTTATGTTTATTAACATAATCTTATAAACCAAATATATGTTGATCTTTTATATTGATAAAATATAAAAAAGAAATACATTTTAAAGTTTATTATTTAGTTTGAATTGGTCAAATAGTAATAATTTTACTATTTAATTTCTTGGTTAAAATGTGGAATAAATTCACATATTAATTGATAAGAATTAATTAAAAGACTCCATTAGTATATATTTGATGTTTTTTTTTTGTTGGAAAATGAAACATGTGCTTCTCATATTATTTTTCTATAAAAAGGCTTGTAAGCATTATAGAAAACACACACACAACAATGAAAGAAAAATTCACATTCCCTCATATGAATATTTTTGAGTTTATTATCTTTTTGAGTCTAAGAATATATCATAAAACTAGATTCGTTAGGCTTCTGATAGAGTGACACACATCCGAAAATTTGTGCAGTTGTATCCTGGGAATCTGAATGTTATTAAATCGTCGCACTACGGGACGTTTAAAGATTTAAGGAAAGAGATTAACTATTTCAACTCTGTAATTTCTCATTTTTTTTTTTTGTTTCGGTATTGTAATTTTGAATTATGTTCGTATTATTTTTACAAATATCAGTTGTCCCCATTGGAATAAAATAAGGTTTCTACAATGTTAACCTAAATGATTACTTTCTGTCATTCTTATTTGAAAGAGTCGGATGATATGATATTAGCTAATATGGCCCTCCCTGCGCCGGTGGTGACGGTGTTGATATGATTCAATATATGATATATCTAACAAAATTGTTAGAAATAGTTTTAATCCCACTTTATGCCTTTCTAAGTAATACAGTAATTATATGTATTGCTATATATGCAAGTTTGCGGGGAATCACTTTGCTGCTAAGTGATCCGCATGCTACTTTTTCTGTTGTTGCATATTTCTTCAAATCATTTCAAGTATATCAAAAGTTAAATTTAATATTTAAACGAAATTTTTTCTACTGCTAATAGAAACTAAATTCAAATTATCGTTTCATTATTTTCTTCAAGGCAAGTGAACCCAAAATTCGTTTGGATTGGAGCACTTCAACATCATGTTTTCTAACAAGTTTTAAGATGGACATAGTATAGTAAATGTTACTTAGTTTATTAGTTAAGAGACAAAGAACATTAGAGCAGAACTCTTAGAGTTGGCCCTTACAAAAAGTAAAATTAAAATATTAGCGGGTCCCACAATATTGGTAAGTATTGGAGATAAATACAATCATATTTGGGATATACATGTATTATTAGATAATGATAGATGTAGTTGTTATCTCCTATTTGTATGGGGAGTTTAACGTTCTCTGTTATGTATATATATACGGCAATTGTCGATGTGAATAAAACACAAGTGTTCGATATCTTTCTCTACATGGTATCAGAGCATCGATCAATCTAAAAGTTATTCAAAATTATTGAGTTCTTGTCGTTTGTTCAAAATCAGAACAAAGTTCGTCAGTGACGATGTCAGAAGAAGAGAAAGCAGAAGAGTCTTCTGCGATTGTGAAGAAGACTGGAGGTGGCGAGTTAATGGCTACTTCACCGTATAAGTTGTATGGATCCGATAATCCTGGATCTGTTATTACTTCAGTTATGTTGACTGGAGAAAACTATAATCAGTGGGCCAACGAGATGCTCAACGCTCTCCAGGCCAAGCGCAAGACAGGTTTCATAAACGGAACTTTGAAGAAACCTTCGATGGAGGATCCAGATTATGAGAATTGGATAGCAGTGAATTCAATGATCATAGGATGGATACGATCTTCAATAGATTCCAAAGTCAAGTCATCGGTGTCGTTCATATCGGAAGCTAGTCAATTGTGGTCTGAGTTGAAGCAGCGTTTCTCGGTGGGGAACAAGGTTCGTATTCATCAGCTCAAGGCTCACTTGGCTTCGTGTCGTCAGGAAGGTCAGAGTGTGCTAGAGTATTATGGCCGGCTGTGTGCACTTTGGGAAGAATACGCGATCTATAGGCCGTTGCCTATGTGT